AGCTCATGTCTTCCACGAGGGTCAACAACTGGCGACAAGACCCTATCAGCCCGGTCCCCCAGAAAGTAGAAACAGTCAACACTCGAGGTGCACACTGTAACTCTCTGACGATAACAGTCAATCACAGCTTAATACAAAGATAACCAATCCATACCTAAAATGAAATCAAAACTTGGCATATCTAGCAACATAAAAACAAACAAAAGTTGTCGTCCGACAACCTCTACCTCACAACCGCGACATCCTCGGTCTAAGTCGACCGTACCACCAACTGGTGACTCTGCCTTTAGCGGAGACGCTAACCGTGCCACTTCTAACCCCAATGTAGAAGCAAATGCAGTAGATATAAATGAATGAGACGCACCTGTATCTATCAACACGTGAGCCAAAGAATTACACACAACAAAAATACCTCTCACAATTGAGGACCTTGGTAACTGCTCTGGCGCGGTAACAGCATACACACGTCTTTGTGGCCTCTGATCAACCTGCTCATCCCTTGGAGCATAGGCCTGTTGTACTGACTGAGCCGAAGGGCTCCCTAATTAGCTCGTGAAGTCTGAACTGAATGAGCCTGCTACTGGCTCTAAGTGCCTTGACCCTAATGCGCCTGACATACCTCCCAACTGCGGGCAAGGTCTCCTCATATGCCCTGACTGGCCACACTGAAAACAAGTAAGTCCTTGCCCTTTGCTCTAAGACTAACTCTGAGATCGATTAGGTAGTGGTGGCGGTAACATATGCTGCCCTCATCTCTTCTGTGGGCATGAAAAGGCCTTGTGACCCAGTTGGCCACACTTGAAACATGAAAAACTACCCGGTGCACTCTTTCCCAGGCCTACACCAAGCAAGGAAAAAGTAGATCTAGACTGTTATGGTTGGGACTGGGATAAAAATGTGCTCCTGTTTTTCTTGCTAGGTCTATAATCTCCCTGTGACTCCTGGCCCCTAGACCTCAAACCCCGAAGTCTCTCCTCCTCGACCTACATAGTAATCTCTACATGTGCCGCTGCCTCCACAAGACAATCAAAGTTCTGAATCATATTTCCGGCAACTTTGAACAAGTTTTTTGTCCTCAACCTCTTCTTAAATTCTATGCAACGATGCTCTTTCGTTGCCACCAACTCCGGTGCAAACTGGGACAAACTAAACTCGACCACAGATAGGTTAAGCTGCTTGAGGTCTTGGAACTCTTGCCTCAATCTTTCCCTGGCAGTGGGAGGTAGATACTTGTCTTGGAAAGCAACCGCAAGGGCTTTCCATGTCGGCTCCACTATACTTTTGGAGTACTTCCACCATTGGCTCACATCCTCTTTGAGATAGTAACTCGCTAGAGTCACCCGTAGCTCGTTATCTGTAATGTGAAGCATCTCAAATGTCTTCACCGTTTGCTCGAGCTACTTATCCACTTTCTTGGGCTCGAGGCCACTATGGAACTCATCTGGTTTGACTTGCAAAAATTCTCTAGTAAGGAAACTCGTCCTTGTCTCTACGGCGTTCTCTCGGGCTTAGTTCTTTGCCCACAACAAATTCATCGATTCCCTCAAAGTCCTCGCCATTTCTCGGGCTAGGGCCCCCATTGCTACTTGACCCGCTTACCCCGGAATTTCCGCTCGCCCAACTTGCTCGGCCACATTAGCGTGGCTCGCTTGCTCGACTGCATTAGCTTGGCCGAACCTTTCCTCTTGCACCAGAACCTCATGGACCAGTACCTCATGTACACCCTGACGAGGCCTACCACGCCTCCCGCCTCTACCTCCACGGGGTTGACCCCTTCCTGACATCCTAATAAAGGGACAAGAGAAACAATTTAGCACACAAACCCATATGTGCTCACAACTTGCCTCACACGTTCGACCACAACAATTTTATATATTTCTCTACTATATAAACAATTTAGTTTCACTCCACATAAACACTTAATCACATAAACATATACGGATTATTCCTTTACGATGAAATTCGTCCCACGAAACACTAAGAATTCTTAGTAGAACGAATATTGATCAAGTACCCTTCTAATAAGACCTTAAAGAATTTAATAAGCGCGAACCAAATCCCAAAAGTCCAACCCTATAACCATCTAGTCATATAAACATGTTATCACATAGCCATGGAATATGCAACGTCTCCTAATCATGCGAAATGAACCCATTAGGGCAAAACAACCACTTCCCGCATGCCTCAAATATTCAAACCCAGTAGTATATCAACCTGGTAGTATATCAAACATGTTGTAACGTTCCAAAAAATATATATATATACATAATGATAGTATATCAACCACTACTCCTTATGACAAACTAGAATAAATCCCCAATGCTTGCATTACATGATCATGAGGTTCACACAAAATAATTTCACATGCCAATATACATTCAATTAATTCTGACACATGAATCTATAGCATGTAGAATTTTCAGTCAAAAATAAATAAATGCCCTCAAGGGCTACAAATTCCAAGGCTTAAGCTTGGTTACACAAAAATGGTTACTCGTACCCATACAAATATAGCCCTTGACTTACAAAATATAATCATAACAAAACAAGAGCCTTGTGCTCTCAACATGCACATCCACACTCTTAGTTCGACGGAATCGCCACATTTTTTCCTGCACCAAAATCCCATAGGGTGAGCATAAAACCCAGTAGGAAAATCTTAACAAAGTATATACATTTTATACAAGTCTCACGCAATGGAATGTACATGTTATACCATGCTTTTAAAAAAAAGTCTCATCTTCATTCTTTGAAAACCATCGTGCACAATGAAGTCTTAAAATTTCAACAAAATTCAACAATTTAAATCAAGTTCAAGGGGACATAAATATGACTTTGGTAATCCCTAAGTTGGTGTCTACAAGTAGGCATAACTAGCACTACCAAAATCCCATTTTATCGGTAACTAACCGCAAGGCACACAGTACCTCTTCCGCGCGTGTTTTCGATCTTTCACCTTGGACACTTAGGCCAACTTAATCAATTTCATCTACACCCCCTATCCGAACTTACCAACATATTTACCCCAAAACAAACCAATGATATCTTATTTCACAAACATTCCCCTTTTTCAATGCAATTTTCAATTTCAATTCAAAATTCGTAGTTACCGATGAATTAAAATGTCATTGCAACAATTGTCAATGCAAACAATATTCTTCCACTTTCAATTCTTCTACATAATTTTCCATTTGTGATCAAAAATTTTCATTCTCATTCCAATGCAATTTCACAAGGCAATCATGTATCTAAATCATCAAAGAGTAACAACATTTCCATGCTTCAAGCATTCTCAACAATTTAGTCATTTCATGACTATGTCTACATTTTAACAATAATTTCCAACAGTAACTATTTCACATATTCCATGATATTTCTCATTTTATAAACAACAATAGGAAATTTCCAATCCTTTATTTATTTTGGTACACAAAATAATAATAATAATAATAATAATAATAATAATAATAATAATAATAATAATAATAATAATAATTGATAATACAGTCCGTCCCGGGTGGATGGGTCGAGCTGGTCCAAGCTCTTCAAGTTCCGATTCAGGGTGATGATTCCGCCAAATAACCTGCAAGCAAGTCCAAAGGGGAACGGGGCAGTCCCCCAGTGAATCCTCCGGCGAGAGAATCAGTAGAGGAAAAAGGAAATGTAGAGAGAGAGAGAGAGATAAAAAGCTTAACCTTCCTCTTGTCTTCTATTCTTGCTTATATCATTTGGTAATCATTTCACTGTCCCTTGTGACGTGCCCCCTTCCGCCGAAAGCCTGTGCCGTAGCTTACCTTGTTCAGGGTGAGGGGGCTCTGTTCCGACGGGGAGGTGTTGTCATAATAAATGCTGTGATGGGCTGCATTAATGGTGATGTGTTATGGTAATAACTCTGCAGATCTTTGTCTGCTGATGTGGCCTGTGTTCCACCTGCCATGTGCCCGAATGTCATTGGTCCTCCATGTCTAGATGGCCTCCAGCTGTCCTGGGCTTTGTCAACCGGGTTATGCTATTGGTCCCAAGCGATGGGTTTGGGGTGGTTTGCTGTGGGCCGTATGCCTTGTGGGCGCATCCATGTCAGTAGTCCCCCATTTCCGAGTGCAGCTTTAGTCCAACAAAGGGAATAGTAATAAGGAAGGGAAGTTCGAACCGAGTGGAGAGGCCGACTGGAAGCCATGCCGATCGCAAGGGTGGCTGAACGGGAGAAGCTGACCGTGAGGGTGGCCGAGTGAGAGGGGTCGACCGCGAGGGCGGCCGAGCAGGAGGGCTCGACCGAGAGGTGTGCCGAGTGGGAGGGGTCGACCGTGAGGCGTGCCGACCGCGAGGGTGGCCAAGCGGGGGGGTCGACCGAGAGGTGTGCCGAGCGGGAGGGGTCGACCGTGAGGCGTGCCGACCGCGAGGGTGGCCAAGCGGGGGGGTCGACCGAGAGGTGTGCCGAGCGGGAGGGGTCGACCGTGAGGCGTGCCGACCGCGAGGGTGGCCAAGCGGGGGGGTCGACCGAGAGGTGTGCCGAGCGGGAGGGGTCGACCGTGAGGCGTGCCGACCGCGAGGGTGGCCAAGCGGGGGGGTCGACCGAGAGGTGTGCCGAGCGGGAGGGGTCGACCGTGAGGCGTGCCGACCGCGAGGGTGGCCAAGCGGGGGGGTCGACCGAGAGGTGTGCCGAGCGGGAGGGGTCGACCGTGAGGCGTGCCGACCGCGAGGGTGGCCAAGCGGGGGGGTCGACCGAGAGGTGTGCCGAGCGGGAGGGGTCGACCGTGAGGCGTGCCGACCGCGAGGGTGGCCAAGCGGGGGGGTCGACCGAGAGGTGTGCCGAGCGGGAGGGGTCGACCGTGAGGCGTGCCGACCGCGAGGGTGGCCAAGCGGGGGGGTCGACCGAGAGGTGTGCCGAGCGGGAGGGGTCGACCGTGAGGCGTGCCGACCGCGAGGGTGGCCAAGCGGGGGGGTCGACCGAGAGGTGTGCCGAGCGGGAGGGGTCGACCGTTTGTAAGCAAACCCTAGAAATGGCACAAGAAGAAGTAGTCGATGTGAGGGTGGACCCGCTAGGGGATGATGATGCGGAGGAGTTAGCAGTGCGATACAGGACGGAGACACGGATGGTGGGAGCGGGGGTGGGGGAACCGGTGGGAGAATCGCAGGCGTCAGCCCTGATATTGGCTCCAAAGCCACTAAGCCAGGTAGAGCCAAATCAGGGGCACACTAAGGCGGACAAATCCACACTCACGGCGGCGGATTTGGAGGTTATCAGGGAACGATACCAGATTCCGGCGGAGGTAGAGTTACTGCTGCCAACATCAAGGGAAATGCCGTCTACTGCGAGGCCAGGGGAGTTTTCTCTGTATGAGGAGGTGCTAAAAGGTAGGCTGAGGTTGCCACTGCCCCAATGGTGGTTGACGTGCTGAATCGCCTGGAGGTAGCGCCGGGACAATTTATGCCCAATGCATGGAAGATTCTGCTGGCCTGTGCGAGTGCGTGGGGGGGAGGCCATGACGGTAGACGAGTTCTTTTCGTGTTACAAAGCGTCGGGGCAGCAAGAAACTTGGGTCACCCTACAGGCGGTGATGGGGAGGGGATTGGTGGCGGGGCTGCCTACGTCGATCAAGGGGTGGCAGCCACGGTTGTTCTACGTGTCTGCTAATGGGGGGGTGGGGGTGCGCACCATCTGGAAGGTGCCAACCAGGTTGATGGAGTCGAGACTGGGGGCGATGGCGGAAGAGAGGGTGAAGAGAGTGAAGGAGTGGAAAGAGAGAGAGAAGGCCAAATGGGACGAGCTTGTTCAGCCGTCTGCATTGTTTGAGGCGGGGCTGGGACCGCAGCCGAAGGGCGGGGACCTCGGCCGGGCGGAATTGGAGGCGAGGAGAAAAGCTCAGGAGGTAGAGGATCGAGCCGTTCTGGCCAAGGCCACGAAGTTGAAGGAAGCGCAAGGAAACCGACCGCCTCAACTGATCGCGCGGAAGAGGATCCGACCGCGCCCAAGGCCGTTGGGGGAAAAAGACTTAAGCAGTTTTGAGCCGCGGCCGCCCCCTGTAGACCCTGTAAAAGAAAAGGTCAGAAAGGAGGGGGAGGCTCTGAAAAAGAAGAAGAAGAAGAGGAGTGCCCCAGAGGAAGCCGCAGATGAGTCTGGGGCCAAGAGGGCTAAGGTAGCCCCAACTGAGGTGGAGGTCCCTATGGCCAAGGACGCCCCAGAGGTGGTGGAGATCATCCTAACGGTAGAGGTTGTGGAGATTGCTCCAACAGTGCAAGTGGAGGCTGGGCTGACTGAGGTGGTGCCGAGCGGAAGGGAATAGGTCCAGAAGGGGCCTGCTCCCCAGGAAGGAGGGGTTCGTCTGGCTACGGCGATCTATCATGCGCACGCGGTAGCTGGAAGGTTGGAGGGAGAAGAAGGCCCAGCCAGGGCGGGGGCAGACCGCCTGGTGAAGATTGTGGAGGAGACAGCTCTGCGCGCGACATCAGGATATAGTGAGGCTGACCTGCTGAGGGGGTTATGCTCCGCCCAAATGGAGGTAACTACCTTGGCAGGGGGCCCTCCTTAGGAAGGCAGGGGCTGGCAAGTTAAAGGCTGAAGAGGCCAAGGCCCAGTTGGCCAAATTGAAGAAGGACAGTGCCGACTGGAAGACTGCCCATGCTGATCTGCCAGCAGTCAAGTTGGAGCTGGAGGACACACGCCGTAAGGTCGTGTCGCTCGAGTTCCAACTGGCTGGTGAACAGAAAAAGTTGGAAGAGTCTGAAAGGGCCTGCGCCATGGCGGTCGAGCGGCATGAAGAGGCCATGAGCAGCAATGAAGAGCTGGTCAGGCAAAAGGATGAAGTAGATTCCAGAATTGGAGATCTGTTGAAGGAGTTGGGGGAGGAGTGTGCCAGGGCAGAGGAGGAGAAGGGGAGGCTTCTGAGGGAGTGGGAAACAGAGAAGGCAAAGGCGGTGGCGGAGCTGGAGAGTCTGAAGAAGGGGGTGGAAGAGGAGAGGGCGACGACGGTTGCTGAAAGGGGGGCCCTGCAAAGAGAGCTGGACGAGGAGAGGGCGAAGGCGGCGTCTGAAAAGGTGGCCTACCCTGATCTGTGCGTCGCAACAGTGGACGTCTGAGAGGGCGGCCTACCCTGATCTGTGCGTCGCAGCAGTGGAGCAATATAAAGGGTCCCCCGAATTTCAGATGGTGGTAGACGCCGCTGTCGCCAGGAGTCTGGCTGGGCAAGAGTCTGGGGGGGTGGGCCCATCAAGGAAGACTGCTGGAGGTAGGACAGAGGCAGAGGTGATTGAAAGCTTCCAGCAGTCAGACTTCTACAAGCACGAAATGGCCGAGTTCTGGGACAGCGGTTGGAAGATGTTCAAGCGCAGAGCTGAAGAGCTGTTCCCACACTTGGACCTTAGTAGTGTAACGATAGGTGAAGATGATGTGGCCCAGACCCCCCTGGACGAAGGCGTTGAAGAAGAAGATCTGGCGTCTAGCGAGGAGGAGTAGCCAAGGAGGAGAAGAGGTGGGCGTGCTCTGTGTTTTTTTTTTTTTTTTTTGTAATGAACTTGTGAACACATTGTAAAGGAATGAGTGAATGAATGAATGCATAAAGAATTTAATTGTGATGAATTTGTGTACAAAGGTTATTTTTTTTATGTTGCCAGTTGAATTTTGTTTATTTTGTTTGTGTTGTTTGTGTTGCCAAAATGAATGAAGTGTTGTTATTTATAAAAACTGGTCATAAAGATTGGGTCAATAAAAATATTGTGTAAAGTTAAAGTTAAAAGTTCCTTCCTGCGGAGTGTGATTGGAGTTGTATGAAAATTGAAAGGATGATAGTGCTTGATTGAAAAATTGGAGTAGGAAATTGTAGAACATAATATTAAGCACGGGTGAATAATCCACGGATGAGGACAAGAGGTGGGTTGCAAATTGTAACTGAACAGTTAATTGTAAACTTGTAGAGGAAAGATTGGAGAAATAAACTGGGTGAGGTGGCAAATAATCTGATTAGTAAATGAAATACGTGAGAGCATGTTTGGAATTTAACTAGGTAAAAACGTGGTCCTGGAATTGTGAAGAAGCTTCAAAATGTGACTAAGTGTTCAAAATGTGGCTGAGGCTGTTGAAATGCTCAGTCTGGCCGAGGCTTTGAAGTGCTCAGTCTAGCTGAGGCTTTTGAAGTGCTCGGTCTGGCTAAGGCTTTTGAAGTGCTCGGTCTGGCTGAGGCTTTTGAAGTGCTCGGTCTGGCAAAGTTATGTGAAGTGCTCGGTCTGGCCGAGGCTTTAAGTGCTCGGTCTGGCCGAGGCTTTGAGTGCTCGGTCTGGCCGAGGCTTTGAGTGCTCGGTCTGGCCGAGGCTTTGAGTGCTCGGTCTGGCCGAGGCTTTGAGTGCTCGGTCTGGCCGAGGCTTTGAGTGCTCGGTCTGGCCGAGGCTTTGAGTGCTCGGTCTGGCCGAGGCTTTGAGTGCTCGGTCTGGCCGAGGCTTTGAGTGCTCGGTCTGGCCGAGGCTTTGAGTGCTCGGTCTGGCCGAGGCTTTGAGTGCTCGGTCTGGCCGAGGCTTTGAGTGCTCGGTCTGGCCGAGGCTTTGAGTGCTCGGTCTGGCCGAGGCTTTGAGTGCTCGGTCTGGCCGAGGCTTTGAGTGCTCGGTCTGGCCGAGGCTTTGAGTGCTCGGTCTGGCCGAGGCTTTGAGTGCTCGGTCTGGCCGAGGCTTTGAGTGCTCGGTCTGGCCGAGGCTTTGAGTGCTCGGTCTGGCCGAGGCTTTGAGTGCTCGGTCTGGCCGAGGCTTTGAGTGCTCGGTCTGGCCGAGGCTTTGAGTGCTCGGTCTGGCCGAGGCTTTGAGTGCTCGGTCTGGCCGAGGCTTTGAGTGCTCGGTCTGGCCGAGGCTTTGAGTGCTCGGTCTGGCCGAGGCTTTGAGTGCTCGGTCTGGCCGAGGCTTTGAGTGCTCGGTCTGGCCGAGGCTTTGAGTGCTCGGTCTGGCCGAGGCTTTGAGTGCTCGGTCTGGCCGAGGCTTTGAGTGCTCGGTCTGGCCGAGGCTTTGAGTGCTCGGTCTGGCCGAGGCTTTGAGTGCTCGGTCTGGCCGAGGCTTTGAGTGCTCGGTCTGGCCGAGGCTTTGAGTGCTCGGTCTGGCCGAGGCTTTGAGTGCTCGGTCTGGCCGAGGCTTTGAGTGCTCGGTCTGGCCGAGGCTTTGAGTGCTCGGTCTGGCCGAGGCTTTGAGTGCTCGGTCTGGCCGAGGCTTTGAGTGCTCGGTCTGGCCGAGGCTTTGAGTGCTCGGTCTGGCCGAGGCTTTGAGTGCTCGGTCTGGCCGAGGCTTTGAGTGCTCGGTCTGGCCGAGGCTTTGAGTGCTCGGTCTGGCCGAGGCTTTGAGTGCTCGGTCTGGCCGAGGCTTTGAGTGCTCGGTCTGGCCGAGGCTTTGAGTGCTCGGTCTGGCCGAGGCTTTGAGTGCTCGGTCTGGCCGAGGCTTTGAGTGCTCGGTCTGGCCGAGGCTTTGAGTGCTCGGTCTGGCCGAGGCTTTGAGTGCTCGGTCTGGCCGAGGCTTTGAGTGCTCGGTCTGGCCGAGGCTTTGAGTGCTCGGTCTGGCCGAGGCTTTGAGTGCTCGGTCTGGCCGAGGCTTTGAGTGCTCGGTCTGGCCGAGGCTTTGAGTGCTCGGTCTGGCCGAGGCTTTGAGTGCTCGGTCTGGCCGAGGCTTTGAGTGCTCGGTCTGGCCGAGGCTTTGAGTGCTCGGTCTGGCCGAGGCTTTGAGTGCTCGGTCTGGCCGAGGCTTTGAGTGCTCGGTCTGGCCGAGGCTTTGAGTGCTCGGTCTGGCCGAGGCTTTGAGTGCTCGGTCTGGCCGAGGCTTTGAGTGCTCGGTCTGGCCGAGGCTTTGAGTGCTCGGTCTGGCCGAGGCTTTGAGTGCTCGGTCTGGCCGAGGCTTTGAGTGCTCGGTCTGGCCGAGGCTTTGAGTGCTCGGTCTGGCCGAGGCTTTGAGTGCTCGGTCTGGCCGAGGCTTTGAGTGCTCGGTCTGGCCGAGGCTTTGAGTGCTCGGTCTGGCCGAGGCTTTGAGTGCTCGGTCTGGCCGAGGCTTTGAGTGCTCGGTCTGGCCGAGGCTTTGAGTGCTCGGTCTGGCCGAGGCTTTGAGTGCTCGGTCTGGCCGAGGCTTTGAGTGCTCGGTCTGGCCGAGGCTTTGAGTGCTCGGTCTGGCCGAGGCTTTGAGTGCTCGGTCTGGCCGAGGCTTTGAGTGCTCGGTCTGGCCGAGGCTTTGAGTGCTCGGTCTGGCCGAGGCTTTGAGTGCTCGGTCTGGCCGAGGCTTTGAGTGCTCGGTCTGGCCGAGGCTTTGAGTGCTCGGTCTGGCCGAGGCTTTGAGTGCTCGGTCTGGCCGAGGCTTTGAGTGCTCGGTCTGGCCGAGGCTTTGAGTGCTCGGTCTGGCCGAGGCTTTGAGTGCTCGGTCTGGCCGAGGCTTTGAGTGCTCGGTCTGGCCGAGGCTTTGAGTGCTCGGTCTGGCCGAGGCTTTGAGTGCTCGGTCTGGCCGAGGCTTTGAGTGCTCGGTCTGGCCGAGGCTTTGAGTGCTCGGTCTGGCCGAGGCTTTGAGAAAAAGAAGAAGAAGAAGAGGAGTGCCCCAGAGGAAGCTGCAGAGGAGTCTGGGGCCAAGAGGGCGAAGGTGGCCCCAACGGAGGTGGAGGTCCATGTGGCAAAGGACGCCCCAGAGGTGGTGGAGATCATCCTGATGGTGGAGGTTGTGGAGATTGCTCCAACAGTGCAAGTGGAGGCTGGGCTGACTGAGGCGGTGCCGAGCGGAAGGGAATAGGTCCAGAAGGGGCCTGCTCCCCAGGAAGGAGGGGTTCGTCTGGCTACGGCGATCTATCATGCGCGCGCGGTAGCTGGAAGGTTGGAGGGAGAAGAAGGCCCAGCCAGGGCCGGGGCAGACCGCCTGGTGAAGATTGTGGAGGAGACAGCTCTCCGCGCGACATCAGGATATAGTGAGGCTGACCTGCTGAGGGGGTTATGCTCCGCCCAAATGGAGGTAACTACCTTGGAAGGGGGCCCTCCTTAAGAAGGCAGGGGCTGCCAAGTTAAAGGCTGAAGAGGCCAAGGCCCAGTTGGCCAAATTGAAGAAAGACAGTGTCGACTGGAAGACTGCCCATGCTGATCTGCCAGCAGTCAAGTTGGAGCTGGAGGACACACGCCGTAAGGTCGTGTCGCTCGAGTTCCAACTGGCTGGTGAACAGAAAAAGTTGGAAGAGTCTGAAAGGGCCTGCGCCATGGCGGTCGAGCGGCATGAAGAGGCCATGAGCAGCAATGAAGAGCTGGTCAGGCAAAAGGATGAAGCAGATTCCAGAATTGGAGATCTGTTGAAGGAGTTGGGGGAGGAGCGTGCCAGGGCAGAGGAGGAGAAGGGGAGGCTTCTGAGGGAGTGGGAAACAGAGAAGGCGAAGGCGGTGGCGGAGCTGGAGAGTCTGAAGAAGGGGGTGGAAGAGGAGAGGGCGACGGCGGTTGCTGAAAGGGGGGCCCTGCAAAGAGAGCTGGACGAGGAGAGGGCGAAGGCGGCGTCTGAGAGGGCGGCCTACCCTGATCTGTGCGTCGCAGCAGTGGAGCAATATAAAGGGTCCCCCGAATTTCAGATGGGCAGTGGAGCAATATAAAGGGTCCCCCGAATTTTAGCTGGTGGTAGATGCCGCTGTCGCCAGGAGTCTGGCTGGGCCAGAGTCTGGGGGGGTGGGTCCATCAAGGAAGACTGCGGGAGGTAGGACAGAGGCAGAGGTGATTGAAAGCTTCCAGCAGTCAGACTTCTACAAGCACGAAATGGCCGAGTTCTGGGACAGCGGTTGGAAGATGTTCAAGCGCAGAGCTGAAGAGCTGTTCCCACACTTGGACCTTAGTAGTGTAACGATATGTGAAGATGATGTGGCCCAGACCCCCCTGGACGAAGGCATTGAAGAAGAAGAGGCTCAGTCTGGCCGAGGCTGTGAAGTGCTCAGTCTGGCTGAGGCTTTTGAAGTGCTCGGTCTGGCCCAGGCTATGAAGTGCTCAGTCTGGCTGAGGCTTTTGAAGTGCTCGGTCGGGCTGAGGCTTTTGAAGTGCTCGGTCTGGCTGAGGCTTTTGAAGTGTTCGGTCTGGCCGAGGCTTTGAAGTGCTCAGTCTGGCTGAGGCTTTTAAAGTGCTCGGTCGGGCCGAGGCTTTGAAGTGCTCAGGCTGGCTGAGGCTTTTGAAGTGCTCAATCTGGCTGAGGCTTTTAAAGTGCTTGGTCTGGCCGAGGCTTTGAAGTGCTCGGTCTGGCCGAGGCTTTGAAGTGCTCAGGCTAGCTGAGGCTTTTGAAGTGCTCGGTTGGGCCGAGGCTTTGAAGTGCTCAAGCTGGCTGAGGCTTTTGAAGTGCTCAGTCTGGCTGAGGCTTTTGAAGTGCTCGGTCTGGCCGAGGCTTTGAAGTGCTCGGTCTGGCCGAGGCTTTTGAAGTGCTCGGTCTGGCCGAGGCTTTGAAGTGCTCAGGCTAGCTGAGGCTTTGAGTGCTCGGCCTGGCCGAGGCTTTGAAATACTGCAACTAAAAAAGTTATGGGAGCGACATAGAGACAGTTGAATTATGAAAACCGAGGTCACCAATCGGAATTTGCATTTTGTATAAAAGGGAAATACAACAATATTGACGATACAAAAGTATGAACTTATTGATAGTAACGCTTCAAATGTTCCACATTCCAGGGATGGGACAGGTCTCGGCCTTCCATGTCTTGAAGTTGGTAAGTGCCTGGTCGTGGTCGGGCTTTCACAACGTAGGGCCCCTCCCATTTGGCTGCCAGTTTGCCCTCGGTTGGATTCTTTGTGGCTAAAGTCACTTCTCGTAAGACAAGGTCCCCTACGGAGATCTCTCGTGGTCGAACTCGGCGGTTGTAGTGTGTTCTCATTTTCTGCTGGTACGAAGCCAATCTGATAGCAGCGGTCTCTCTGAGCTCTTCGACGAGGTCCAAGTCTGTTCGATGGAGTTCTTCGGCTGCGGCCAAATCCGGATGTAAAACCCTGGGAGTGGGCAGACCGACTTCTACCGGAATAACCGCCTCAGCGCCATATGTTAAGCGAAAAGGGGTTTCACCAGTGGGAGTGCGAGTAGTGGTTCGGTAAGCCTAGAGTATGTTTGGTAGTTCCTCAGCCCAAAGGCCTTTAGCAGCTTCGAGCTTAGTTTTGATGATTTTCAGAAGGGAACGGTTGGTGACCTCAACTTGGCCGTTTGCTTGGGGGTGACCGGGGGAAGAGAAGCATGGTTGAATCTGGAGATCTGCACAAAATTTTCTATACTTCGCGTTACCGAATTGTTTGCCATTGTCAGAGATGATGGCTTGAGGGATGCCAAATCGGCAAATGATCGATTGCCAGATAAACCTGGTGGTGTTCCGCTCGGTGATTATGGCAAGGGGTTCAGCCTCGACCCACTTGGTGAAGTAATCAATGGCGACAATTGCGAACTTGGTCTGGCCTCGACCGGTAGGAAGTGGACCAACCAGGTCGATCCCCCACTTGGCGAACGGATAAGGGCTGCAGAGTGTGATTAACTCTGTAGGAGGAGCATGGGGGATGTTGGCAAAGCGTTGAAATTTATCGCATTTGAGCACGAAGTCGGTCACATCCTGATTAAGAGTTGGCCAAAAATACCCAGTACGGAGTATCTTCTGGGCAAGGGACCTGCCACCTGAGTGATTACCACAAATTCCCTCATGGATCACCTGCATTACATAAGTTGCTTGAGCTGGATTGAGGCACCGTAGATATGACCGGGAGAAACCGCGCTTGTACAATATACCGTCGACAATGACGTAATTGGGTGCTCGGGATCAGACTTTGGCAGCCTACTGCTGGTCATCTGGGAGTGCTCCTGTGGTCAAGAATAGGAGGATGTCGGATGCCCAAGGGATGGGTTCGTTTTGGATGTATTGTACAGCTTGCAGATCGGGTGAAATGGCTGGGTGGTGTAAATATTCGACGCAGACATCATGGCTGAGAGTAGGATGGTCAGCAGAGGCCAACTAAGCCATCTCATCTGCTTTGGAGTTTTTCGCCCGAGGAATGTGCCTAATGTGGAAGGTATTGAAGAGGCGAGCAAGGGGGAGTGCCAGGTCCCTGTAAGCTCGCATCGTGTCTTCCTTGGCATCAAAATCCCCCGTCATCTGACCGACGACGAGTTGGGAGTCGCTGAATACTCGGAGGTGGCTGACCCCTATGTCCTTGGCAAGGTGGAGTCCTGCTATTAATGCCTCGTACTCGGCTTCATTGTTGCTTGCTTCAAACAAGAAACGGAGGGCACATTTGAAGTAGCCGCCCTCAGGGGAGGTGAGGATGAGGCCGGCACCACTTCCTTCTTTTCGGGACGAACCGTCGACATTGAGAGTCCAAGAATGAGGATCTTCTGGCTCTGTTGGAGTTGGTGGGGGCGGAGGTGTAGTGGTTGGGGTCGGATTGGTGAATTCCATGATGAAGTCAGCTACAGGCTGCCCCTTGATTGCTGTCCGAGGGCGGTAAGAGATGTCGAACTGGCTGAGTTCTACGGACCACTGCATCAGTCTACCTGAGAGTTCTGGTTGCTGCATGACCTTCTTCAGGGGCTGGTCGGTGAGGACCACTATAGAGTGGGCTTGGAAGTATGGGCAGAGTCGTCTGGAGGCAATGACCAAGGCCAGGGACAGTTTTTCCAGCAAGGGGTAGTTCTGCTCCGCGCCCCTAAGAGCCCGACTGATGTAATAGACCGGCCGTTGGATTGAGTCATCTTCTCTGAGGAGAGCTGCACTGACTGCGGTTCCCGATACTGCCAAGTAGAGGAAGAGGGGTTCGCCCGTGATTGCTTGGGAGAGAAGGGGAGGATTGGCCATGCATTGCTTTAACTGTTGGAAGGCCTCTTCGGATTCAGCTATCCATTCAAAAGTCTGCCGAAGAACTTTGAAGAAGGGCAAGCACTTATCTGTCGCATGGGAAATGAAGCGGTTGAGGGCCGCCACTCGGCCGGTGAGTCTCTGAACCTCTTTGACCGTCCTAGGCGACTGCATCTCAACCAAGGCCTTGATCTTCTCAGGGTTAGCTTCGATGCCGCGCTGACTGACCATAAAGCCCAAAAATTTGCCAGACCCTACGCCGAAGGCGCACTTCTCTGGGTTGAGCTTCATCTGGTGCTTGCGCAAGGTGGCGAAGGTCTCACGTAAATCAGTGAGGTGATCGGAGGAGTATTTGCTTTTGACTAGCATGTCGTTGACGTAGACTTCCATATTCCGACCTATTTGGTGATGGAAAATGGCATTAACTAGCCGCTGATAAGTGGCCCCAGCATTCTTCAATCCGAACGACATTACACAGTAGTGGTAGGTACCTCAGTCGGTAATAAATGATGTGTGCTCCCGATCAGATGTGTGCATCAGGATTTGGTTGTACCCAAAGAAGGCATCCATGAAACTGAGCATTTGATGACCGGCCGTGGCGTCGACCAGCAGATCTATGCGAGGAAGGGGGTAGCTGTCTTTGGGACAAGCTCGGTTCAGGTCAGAGTAGTCGACACAGAGCCGCCATTTGCCATTGTGTTTCCGGACGAGGACCACGTTGGACAACCACCTAGGATTGTCCACATTTTTGATGAATTGGGCCTCGAGGAGTTTGTCAACTTCGGCGGCTATAAGAGTGTTGCGCTCCGGATGGAAAATGCGTTGCTTCTGGCGGTGGGATCGAAAGTGGGGTTCGATGCTGAGGCGATGGGTTATGAAGGAGGGGTCGATGCCTGGCATGTCAGAATGGGTCCAGGCGAATACATCTCTATGCTCGGTCAGGAGAGCAGTAAGGTCGGCCTTGGCTTGGGAAGGTAATTAGCTGCCAATCTTGGCGGTTTTGATTGGGTTGGTGGGATCAATGTTAACTTCAACAAGTTCCTCTACGGGTTCACCTCTGACCAGCTCGTCCTCGTCTCGGACGTCAAGCCCTTCGATGATCATGGCCTCTTTTAACTTGACTTCTTTGAGTGAGGCGACATGACACTCCCTGGCCATGGTCTGTTCTCCTTTGACAGTTCCAACACCGAGATCGGTAGGAAATTTGATGGCAAGATGATATGTAGATGTGATGGCTTGGAAGGCGTTGAGGGCTGTGCGGCCAAGGATGATGTTGTAAGCAGAGGGGCAGTCGACCACAAGAAAGGTGAGCAACTTAGTGGTCTGCCGCGGGTGCTCGCCAATGGTGATAGGTAGATCGATGGAGCCGATGGAGGTCACACGGTCGCCGGTGAAGCCGACCAGAGGGGTTTGGAGAGGAGACAAGCTTTCTTCCCCAATCTTGAGCTGGCAGAAGCAATTAAGGAAGATAATGTCTGAAGAGCTGCCGTTGTCTATGAGGACTCATCTAACTTTGTAGTTAGAGAGGATGGCGGAAATGATAAGGGGGTCATCATGTGCGTAACGGACTCCTGCACAGTCAGTGTCGGTGAAGGTGATGGGTTCGATTCATTGTTTTGACTGTTTGGGAGGTCGGTCCACCGTCGCCACTACTTTGTCTGAGCCCTGCCTGATTTTTCTGAGTTCTGCCTTCTGAGCCGAGGGGGATGGTCCCCCGCAAGCAAGGCTGCCTGAAATAACTCGAATTTCTCTGACTGATGGAGGGGGATTACCAGGGGGCCGAGGCTGTGGTG